TTTATTTTCGCCTTTATTTCCCTTGCCAAAGAGATACAATGGTAAAAATATTGCTACATGAGATACCTGAAATCTTACTACCTATGTATTCCACTAGGATTTTTATGGTATCATTACTTATATTTAAATCTTTTATCAATTTCGAGTTTATTCTTCTGAATGATATAAATTAGTTATCCAGTTTCGTTTCTTTACATGTACTAGACCAGTTCTCCCAACACCATTTATTGTAAAGAATGTCTTTACTTTATTGCATTCTTGTACACACTTTGTCAAATATTAATTAACCTTAAAGGTATGGGTTTCTTTCAGGGCTCTCTATTCTGTTCCATTGATCTATGACTTAGATCTTCAGCCAGTACCAGACTGTTTTGATTACAGATATCTTGTAATATAGTGTGATAACAGGTATTGTGACCCCTCCAACTTTGCTCTTCTCAAGATTGCTGTGGCTATTCAGTTCCACATAAATATTTGGTTCCATATAAATATTTGAAATATTTGACCTAGGTCTGTGAAATATACCATTGGTATTTTAATAGGAATTGCATTGAATCTATAGACTGCTTTGAGTAGTATAGACATTTTAAAGATGTTATTTCTTCCAATCCATGAACACAGTATATGCTTCCATTTATATGTATCTTCCTCAATTTCTTTCTTCAGTGTTCTATAGTTTTCTGAGTACAAGTATTTTACCTCCCTGGTTAAATTTATTCCTAGGTACTTTTTATTTTTGCTATAGTGGAATGGAATTTTATTCTTAGAGAGTATTCCCAGCAGTGGGAATACTGCTTTTATTCTTAGTTTCTTTTCCTAATGGTTCTTTGTTGGTGTACAAAAAATGCAATCGATTTCTGAATATTGACTTTGTAGCCTGCTACTTTGCCAAATTCAATTATTAGGTTGAGTAGTTTTTTGGTGGAACCTATAGAGTTTTCTATGTACACGATCATGTCATTTACAAATAATTACAGTTTTACTTCCTGTTTTCCAATTTTGTTGCCTTTTATTTCTTCTTCTCATTTGATCATTGTGGCTAGGGCTTCCAGTACTATGTTGAAGAAGAGTGGTGAAAACAGACACTATTGTCTTGTTTCTGATCTTAAGGGAAATGCTTTTTGTTTTTGCCCATTGAGTGTGATGTTGGCAGTAGGTTTTTCATATATGGCTATATTATGTTGAGATATGCTCCCTCTATTCCCACTTTGCTGAGTGTTTTTACTATAAATTGATGCTAGATTGTAGCAAAAGCTTTTTCTGCACCTATTGACATGATCATGTGGTTTTTGTTTTCATTTTGTTTATGTGATCACATTTGTTTATATATCACACTTATTGACTTGCAAATATTATACTATCCTTGCATCCCTGGAATAAATCCACTTGATCATTCTGTATGACATTTTTAATGCATTGCAGGATCTGGTTTTCTAGTAGTTTTTTGAGGATTTTAGCATCTATGTTCATCAGAGATATTGGCCAGTAACTTTGTTTTTTTTGTTGTGTCTTTATCCAGTTTTGAGATTAGGATAATACTGACCTCTTAAAAAGAGTTTGGGGGAGAATCAAGAGGGCAGAGGAGTGAGTGGAAGTCACACTGACCTCCTCCCATGACCACCCTGGAATTACGACTAAATTGTGGAGAAATCACCTGAAACAAACTTTAACAATGGTGAGAGAGGAGCCTTGTAACCTCAGAGACAGAAGACTTGGCTTTAGTGCAATCTAACTGGTAAGGAGTGCAGTACAGACCTGAGAAGTTGGGCAGGGTGCCCACAGGTGGCAGCACCAGAAGGATATTGAAGCGGCCAGTTGGATCCCCCCAAGAAGAGCGGGGTCTAAACAAAAAATGGGTATCTCTAGCCTACAGCACCAGGGCCCAAAAGATACACAGAAAACAGCCAGATGCAAAAAGCTGCAGGGTTGCTCTCTGCCAGAGACAGGTGGCTGGAGACACAAAGAACTGTTTAAAGGGCCAAGGCATAAATTTTTATTTGCAGCCACTTACACTGGTCTCTGGCAAAGGCAGGGGAGAGTGGGCTAGAGATGCCTGAGGAAAGACTGGGGAAGGAGGCTTTGGGAAGATAACTGAGAGAGTAGCCAGTGGGATCTCAGTGCTGACTCATCCCCCATGCAGCAGTGGCCATCTTGCTCAGGCAGAGACCACGCCCCTGATGAGCAACAGCATCAAAGGACCCAATAGCCCCACCCCGAGGTGGGATTCCACCCCTCCCTGCGCTGTCAAAGCTGCCTGCTGAGTGCAGAGTGGCAGCCACAGACAGTAGATCCCTGGCTAAAGGCACAGAGATGTTTGGTGATACTTGAGGAGAGACTGGGGACAGAGGCTTTGGGGAGAGAACAGAGAGAGTAGCTGGTGGGTTTCCTCCCCTATATGGCAGCAGCTTGAGTGGACCCAATAACCCTGCCCCCAGGAGGAACTCTGCCCTGCCCTGAGCTGTCTAAGGCGGCCTGCTGAGTTCAGAGAGAATAGATTAACAGCTGAAGGAGAAAGCCACAGACAGTAGCTTACTGGAAGTCTTGAACAAACTGTCTAAGGTCAGACAGGGTCAACATCTGACGTCTTTAGAGGCAGATCCAGAAAGTAAAAACAGTGGCCTCCAAACATAGAAGTTCATACCACAAAGTCAGGAGATCAAGACAGATCAACTTAAGAATCAGAAGCAAAAGAGAAGAGTCTCACAAATAATGAGAAGACAAAGAAATATGCCCCACTCTAAGGGTAAGGAGAAATCCCCAGAAAGAAAACTAAATTAAATAGAGGCAAGTAAACTATCAGATACTGAGTTCCAAATGATTCTAAGGAACCTCAATGAGCTAAGTGAGCTCAGAGAGAACTACAAAAAAATACAGGGAAACTATGAGGAACTTACTGCAAACTATATCAGCATGAAAAAGGACCTAGAAACTATCAATGAGAGACAAGAGGAAATGAAGAATACAATTCTTCTGAATTGAAGAACACAGTAGAAGGAATCAAGCAGGCTCAATGAAGCTTAGGACTGAATTAGCGAGCTGGAGGATAAGGTAGACTAAAGCTCCCAGGAAAAGCAAGAAAATGAAAAGACTCAAAAAGAATGAAGAGGCATCGAGGGAAATACAGGACAACCTGAAATGTAATAATATCTATATAATAGGGATACCAGAAGGAGAAAAGGATGAGGAAGGGATAGAGACCCTATGTGAAAAAGGATGGAAAACTTCCCTAATTGGAGGAAAGAAACAGTCACACAAGTCCAGGAAGCACAGAGTGTCCATTCAAGAGGAACCCAATGAGGCCTGCTGCAAGACACATCATCATTAAAATTGCAAATATCAAAGACAAAGAGAGAATCCTAAAGGCAGCAAGGGAGAAAGAGGTAGTAACATATAACGGAGCCCCAATACAGCTAGCATCTTACTTCTCTACAGAAAACCTGCAAGCCAGAAGGGAATGGCAAGAAATATTCCAAGTAATGAAAAGCAAAGGTTTGCAACCAAGACTGCTCTACCCAGCAAGGCTCTCAATTAAAATGGAAGGTGAAATAAGGAGTTGCCCAGACAAAAGAAGGCTAAAAGAATACACCTCCACCAAACCAGCACTGCAAGCTATGCTAAAGGGACTGCTTTAAGATGAAGAAAATGTTTCTATGAATACCCACTTCCTTTCAGAGTCACCAATACTTGATACTACCAATATTTTTAATACTCATTATCTGATTGTAATAATGATGTTATTTTAATTGTTCCTTTACTATTTGTTGAAACTAAACCTGTTTTAGTATATTTCTTGCGTATTTCTCTTATTTTAAAAAAAAGCTTTAAATGACTTTTTGGTTTTCTTTATCCATTTATTGATTAAAAGTTTGTAGAACTTTTTTCCCTAAAAAAAACAACAAACCTATTAACCATGTTTTAAGTGTGTTGCAAACATTTTTCAATTCTATTCCTTGTCCTTTAACTTTTTTATATGTATATTACTATATAGTTAAATGTTTAATATAGTCATATTGTCAATATTTATAACTTCTGGGTTTGAATATTTTACTTCAGGTCATGAAAAATATTAGTTATATTTCCTTCTAAAACTCCTTAGATTTCTACATATTGATTTTTAACTCTCCTGAGTATTTGTTGTATAATGTGTGAAATGGGGTTCTATATTTGTTTTATTTTAAGTAATAGTGGTCCATGCACCTTATTTGTTGAATAAGCCTTATTTTACCCATTGATTTGAAATATCAACTTAATCATATATTACATTGTCATACAGATATATACATTTGTCTCTAGAATGCTCATTATATTTCATTGATCTGCTTGATTATTTCTGTGCAGGTGTCAGGTTGGTTTAATTGCTGAGACTTTAGAATGGTTTTAAATTTTTTTAATATTTTATAATTAACTTTGACATTTAAAAAATAAATAAAATCAATCTGCATTTAAGAAAGAAAGAAAGAAAGAGAGATGGAAATCCTACCATTTGTGACAACATGGATGGAACTGGAGGATATTAAGCTAAGTGAAATAAGCCAGTTGATGAAAGACAAATACCATATGATCTCACCTATAAGTGGACTCTATTCAACAAAATAAACTAACGAACAAAGTAAACCACAGGCATAGAAACATGGAGAAGACTGAAAGTGACCAGAGGGGATGGGGAAAGAGGACAATAGTGGAAAGAAGGGGAAGGGACTAGACAAAGAACAAATATGAATGACCCATTGACATGGACAGAGTGGGAATTGACTGTGGAAGCGGGGTAGGGGTGAGATGGGTGGAGGGCAGTAAAGGGGTAAAAATTGAGACAACTGTAATAGAATAAACATGATGTATAAATAAACAAATAAATAAATAATGTTTACAAAAACAAAAAAAGAGTTTGGGACAAGGCTTAGTGGCCCTCCCCAAGACTGAGGCAGCGGTGACAGGTGCACGCGATGACTGGTGAGAGGTGCAGGTTGTTGCGCTCCAGGCTTTCCTCTTTTCCTTCATAGATGAGTGGAGAAGGCCAAAGCAGTGCTGGGCTCACTCCCCTTTTCTCTTCCTCTGGCCACTTCTTCTGGCCCCTTCGTGCTGCACGGTCTCTGCAACGCAAGACTTGTCCAGGCCCAAATACGGCTAGGAGACAGCAGAAAATTCAGTCTAGGCAGAAAAATGCCAAAAAGCAAGCTGGACAAAAGAAGAAACAAGGGCACAACCAAAAGGTTGCTGTCAAAGCTGCCGATATATATATATATATATATATATATATATATATATATATATATATATATATATATATCGGCACTGTCCGTAGGACACAAATGCCAGACCTTAAGACCTTCAAGCAGCCCTTCGAGAGCAAGCATCCAAAGACTCCCCTTCCTCCAGAATTGGCTGATCTTTAGGCATAAAGTTGTTTAAAGGTGGATTCATAACACCTCTGATTCTTCTACTGTCTCAGAACATAGGTAACAAACCTGCAACTGCTTTTCTAACTGTTGATCATCAAAAATAAAGGGGCTACATAAACTCATATTTATGCTGTTCCCTTTGGGCTTCATGCAAAGACTGTGTAAATGTACAGCTGACCATAGTTTGGAAATCTGAAAATCAGTCCACCCTTGTTATAAAAAAATGTTTTACAATTGTAATTATATTGAAGTTCATATTGTGTAAAATAATTCATTTAATAAAGTAGTACTTTGATTTTACAACATCACAGGATAAATGGTTCTAGAAATTCTGTACTAACTTTTCTCATTATCTGTCTTATAAAAATGTAATGAATTCATCAGCGAGAAATGCAAGCGCAATTCTCATCTCTCTCTCAGCTCCGTAGCAGTTTCAGTAGTTAAACTGGAGCAGACTCATTCATTAAGTTTGTGTACACAATTTTATTGGCAGCTGCCTCGGTGAGGAATGACTTACCTGCTTCCTTAGTATACTGCAATCATATGTCATTTTCCCCTGATTGTTTCATGTGTTTGAGGTTGGAATATTTCAACTTGCTGTATAGCCTGACTATAGATGCCAGCTAGGTGTACCCTGTAGATAAGTGATACATTCCTAAAGTGGTTGGATCATTAGTGAGCCTTTTTGAAAAACTATATTCTGAAGTATGTGCTATAATGAAATAATCAGTACGCCTAATCATTTATTACAAAATATGATGGAATGTATGTGAACTAGTAAAGATTTATCTTTCATAACTTATCCTAGATTCTTTGAACATTTTTCAAGTTCTTTATTTGATATTGAAACTCATAATTTTGAAGTTTTGGGTAGTTATTAATGATTTGACCAATGGATTTTTGCATTAACAGGAAGATTGGAATGACTTGTGGCTGGGTTAATTCCCAGAACCTTCTCCCTCCTTTTCTTTTTGAGTTGTTGATTTTAGGAGTTTACTTTGTGCTGGTTCCTAAAATCAAAGACTGTGTATAGTAAAATTACTGTCTGAACCAGAAAAGTATTAAAATAAGCCAGTATCCACATTTATTTGGTTCCAAGAATGGGGGAGTGGGTCGGTTCAGATGGATGAGGTAAATCCTACCTAGTTAAGGGAGACTAATTTTAGGGTTCTTCTAATTTGCTTTGGTTAATTATTAACTTTATGAGTGAAACAGCAGTAACTCAGTTTAAATTTTAAAGTTAATATAATAGGAAGAACACTAAATTATTTACTGGTAATTTCTTAGAGCCACAAATCTGAGCCTGTGGATTTAAAAATGCATTCCCTCTTTCTGCTATAACTTATCATTGCATTTTTTTTTTAGCTGTCCATATTTTACCCACCTTGTTTGTCTTCATTGTAAATTTAAAATAAGATATTTCTAAGGAAAATGTTCAGTGGTGATAATTTCTCAGCAATTACTATTCTTATACTATTACTTTAAAATAATGACTTTTTCATGTATTTAATTTCCTAAGTTTCATATTTAATGTTATTTCCTTATATGTTGATAACCAGAATATTAGAATTTGCCCAATTGCTTGTGGTGGGTATTACAGAAGTCCTGATTAAATTACAATTTAAAGGTTTTTTAAAGTGCTATGGACATATTGTATTTAGTAACAAACCATTTAAAAACCATTCACAAGTTTTGGTTTAATTTTTTTTCATTTGTTTTACTGACTCTAATTCTGAATGAAAGCTTTTTGTTCTTGCAGTTAACCCCTTTTTATAAACAGCTGAAGACATCACATTTAACTCCATCTCAGTGATGGGAATAGCTGCGTTGATCTTGCATAGAACATAATTCTCATCCTCTATGAGAGGGTTATTAGTACAATAGCTTTTTATTGTGTTTGAATTAAATCTGCTATAAGGGGAAAATTAAAATTCTTAAACATCCTTGTTATTTATTTTGAAGATTCTTTAACAGATCACAGCAAAGTTCATTATGAAACTATTATGACAGCGTTAAAGACTTGATAAAATACACTGAGAGAGAATTGATCCATTTGTATTCTGTATTTCCAATAGTTGCCAGAAAGAATGGGGTTAAATTAAACTTGTTTCCATTATTCTTCATATGGATCTACATCCCCTTGTTTAACTGACACACAGGGCTCAGTTGTGTGCTGTAATGTTTTATTAAAGAAGATATTAAAGAAGAAAAAAGAGTGTGGAATTTCTCCCTCTTCTTGAAGAGAAGGATAGGTGATAGTTCTCCCTTGACTGTTTGGTAAAATTTGCCTGTGAAGCCATCTGGTCTAGGGCTTTGTGTGCTGGGAATTTTTTTTATTATTATTGCTTCAATTTTGCTAGTTGTTATAAGTCTATTCAGGTTTTCTGCTTTTTCCTGATTTGGTTTTGGAAGATTTATCCTTCTATAAATTTAGCCATTTCACCCATTTGTCCAATTTCTTGGCATATATTTATTCATAGTAATTTCTTACAAACCTTTATATTTCTGTAGTATCAGTTGTTACTCTTCTTTCATTTCTGATTTTATTTATTTTTGTCTTCTTTCTTTTTTTCTTAATGAGTCTAGTTAGAAGTTTGCCAATTTTGTTTATCTTTTCAAAGAACCAGATCCTGGATTCATTGATCCTTTTAGTTATTTTTTTAGTCTCTATGTTTAATTCTGCTCTGATCTTGGTTATTTCCTTCCGTCTACTCACTCTGGGCTTTGTTGTTGTTTCTCTAGATTTTTGGGTATACAGTTAGGTTGTTTATTTGAGATTTTTATGTCTACTTTAGGTATGCCTGTAGCACTATGCACTTGCTCTCAGGACTGCTTTTGCTGTGTCCCATAGCTTTTGGGATATCGTGTGTTCATTTTCATTTGTTTCCAAATACTTTTTGATTTCTTCCTTAATCTCATTGTTAACCAATTCATTATTTAATAAAATGTTTTTCAGCCTCCAAGTATTTGAATGTTTCAGTTTTTTTCTTGAGGTTTATTTCTAGTTTTAAGCAGTTGTGATCTGAGAAGGTGCTTGATATGATTTCAATTTGTTGAATTTGCTAAGACTTATTTGATGCCCTACCATGTGGTATATCTTTGAAAATAATACACACGCATTTGAAAAGAATGTAAATTTTGCTCCTTTGTGATAAAATGTTCTGTAAATATCAATTAAGTCCATTTGATCTAGTGAGTCATTTAATGCTGATATAGCCTTGTTTGATGTTTTGTCTGAAGATTTGTCCGTTGTTGACAGCAGGATATTAAAATCCCCTACAACGACTGTATTGCTGTCAATCTCTTTCTTAAAGTCCTCCAAGATTTTCTTTATATATTTAGGTGTCCCTAATTGTGTGCATATATGAGGTCTGTCCAGAAGCTATACAACCATATAATATAAAAATAGAGACATTTATTGAAGAAGATACAAAATACAAGAAACATTGTACATAGGACAATGATGCCTCAGTCCCCTTCAAAGTAGGCACCTTGAGACCTCACACAGTTCTCCCAATTGTGACCAGCTGCCCCATAGTATTTTCCTGAATTTCATCAATGGTCTGAAATCTCTTCCATTTCAAAGGTGATTCTAGTTTTTGGGAAAGCCAGAAATCACAGAGTGCCAAATCTGGGCTGCAGAGGGATTGGCTGAGTCTCCTGGGTGATTTGATGTTTCACCAAAAAACTCTGTACAAGACAGATGGATGAGCAGGTGCATTGTTGTGATGAAGCTGCCGATCACTAGTTGCCCATAGCTGTGGCCTTCTGATCAGTCAAATAGCTTCTGCAGAGGTTAATGCAAAGCTTAATGCAAAATCTGATGCAGATTTGTTGCTCTCCTTGCTCATTTTGGATGTGAAGACCACTCGGTATACATGCTCACTCAATGGCATCTACTGCCTCCACTGACTAGTACAGTGAAGTCATCATTGTTAACACATGCACATTCTTCTCCATTCTCCTTGGCTGCCAGGTTACAACGATGTCATGCAAACCATTCTTATATGGACCACTGTTGGACTCTTCCTGGACAGACCTTGTATGTTTACAAAGGTTATGTCATCTTATTGCTCTGCTCTCTTAAGTATTATGTAGTTACTTTCTTTGTCTCTTTTTATGACCTTATGACCTTAGTTTTGAAGTCTATTTTGTCATATGTAAGTATTGCTACCCCAGCTATTTCATGTCCATTTACATGGAATATTATTTCTATCCCTTTACTTTCAGCCTGTGTAAATCTTTTGTTCTGAGTTGTGTCTCTTGTAGACAGCATGTTTGCAGGTGGTGTTTTCTTATCCATTCATCTCCCATATGTCTTTTGATTAGAGCATTTAATCCATTTACATTTAAGGTTATTATTTATATGTACTTATTCATTGCCTTTTTTTTTTTGTACTATATTCCCCTCTGTCTCCATTTCTTCTTCTTAAAGCAGTCCTTTTGGAATCTCTTGCAATGCTGACTTGTTGGAGATGTACTTTTTTAGCCTGTGTTGTTGTTGTTGTTGTTGTTGTTGTCGTCGTCGTCAGGGAAGCTTGTTTTTCATCTTCCATTTTAATTGAGAACCTTGCTAGAAAGAGTAGTCTTGGTTGCAGGTCCTTCCTTTTCATTACATGGAATATTTCATACCAGTCCCTTCTGTATTATAGTGTTTCTGTTGAGAAGTCAGCTTCTAACCATATCAGCGCTGACAACCTTAAGAAGCTTATTTTTAGGTGACTAGTTGTTTCTCTCTTGCTGCCTTCAAGATTCTGTCTTCGTCTTTAAATTTCACCATTTTGATTGTAATGTCTTGGTGTGGGCCTCTTTGGGTTTATCTTCATTGGGACTACCTGTGTTCTCTGAACTTGTGTGACTCTCTGTTTTACCATACTAGGAAATATTTCTGTCATTATTTTTTCAAACAGGTTGCTATCCCTTACACCCTTTCTTCTCCTTCTGGTATACCTATGATGCAAATTTTGTTATGTTTCCTGTTGTCTCAAAGCTCC